GTTTATGGTCTTACCTTTACTTGTACACGAAATCCATTTGTCAGTTGGTATGTATTACAAACCCTTTTGCCGTTCGAATCCAATATTAAAACAAATGTTTTCAATAAAGAAGATCCTTCTGGACAAAAATGTCCAGACTGTCAAAAATGTTTTGATTGAAAGTCCAGATTTCCGAATTTTCTCAACTTGGAAATGTAATCTTCCATTTTAAAAAGGCGGATTGTAAAGGAAATATAAACAAGCATGAAGAAGATTGTAGGTAGCGCAAGAATCTGTGGGCTCACTAGCGCCCTCTGCCTTGAGGCAGGCGTACTGTTTGCCTCACCAAGTAACTTTTTTACTGGGTTTTATGGTTAATCTGCGTGCCTAAACACGTTACAGAACTACATTTTATACATTATCCAGATTATGGCAAGGCAGAGCATATAATCAGAGTGTTTGAAAGCATTTTATTTGCGATATATAGAGGGACAGCGACACACTATTTGCATCACATAAAGCTTTGTGAGGATTACACGATCCACCGAGAGGCACAGCAAAGTGCTGCCTCATCGCACATCTCCTCCATGTATTTCAATGGGACATACGGAAATTCTGCTATTCTTTATTGAAAAAAATTCCTTCAACATCGGATTCGAACGACAACACACACCAGCCGACAAATATTAACATTTATAATATTTTATGGTTAACTTTTTTTTCTTTTCAAGATTGACAGGGGAGGCTCTGCCTCACCTGCCTCCCCTGACCGCACGTCACTGCTGTAAATATACCCTGTACAGATTATACAGCTTTGTACAGGTCTCTATTTTTAAGTACTCTAACTTTATTCCTATTATTTCGTCTCACAATCGTTTACTGCCTGTTTTTATTGCTTAGTTTGTTGCTTGATAATGCTTATTTTTTTATACTAGCCTTATGATGGTTTACTGTTTACTTTCCCCTATATAATTGACTTCACCCTCGACATTATTGGCAGCTTTATGCCAACATGGACCAGGAGTTTGATGTGACAGGTGTAATGCCATGTGATGGACATATCAAAAGAAGTGACATGGTCGTGAACTGATATGCTGAGAAACATGGTGTCAGTCTCCTTTATGCACATTTGTATTAATGTTATCATGCTGATAAACTTTGCTAGAGGATGAATGACTTTCAGCATACAGCAAAAGGTGAACCAGCAGAAAGTTGTCATAGCTTTAAAACTTAAACAATGACATTTCATAGTGAGTTGATAGTGGATTAGCAGATCTTAGCTTGTCAGCATCCACACAATAAATAAAGAACAGGAAAACATAGTGTGGATGCTTGTGCATCCACACAATTAGGTGCAAAACACTCATGACACACTGGCACTGATTGCCTGAAGACTAGTCCTGTTTTATCTACCTGCCATCCACCCCAGTCTCCTCCTAAGACCTGTGACACAGCAGGCTGATGGTTGGCTGTCGGTGAGTATCTGGTACGGCTCATCTTCCTAGTGTGTCCTACACCATTAGCACTAGTTGGACCCTCTTGGCAGCTTTTTAGCTGATTTGGCTTGTTGAATTAGTAGTGGACCTCTCGGTGAGAGACACCACTCTGATTAGATGTTAAGCTTAGCAAATCAATGAGGGAAGAAAACAGACTGGGAAAGCCCCTTCAGCCTGTTGCTGCAGCATTGACGATCTTACCCATTTAGTGCAGTTTCTCCTTATTTTTTGCCTCCACAGCCTCCCTTCTTCTTTCACAACCAAAAGAGCAAGGGCAGAGAATGGCAGTGTCATTTGCAACTTATTATCAGACATATTATTGATTAGAAGCAACTATAAACAGTAGCTATTTATGTGCTATTTGGCTGTAGTCTGTGCAGTGTGTTCAAGTGCCACTTTTTCAACCCTGAGTGAAAGTCATTCAAGTGCCACTTTTTCCCAGACAAAAGTGACGTGAGGCGACGCAACAGTCGACCTTCATCGCTTGCTGTAAATATACCCTGTACAGATTATACAGCTTTGTACAGGTCTCTATTTTTAAGTACTCTAACTTTATTCCTATTATTTCGTCTCACAATCGTTTACTGCCTGTTTTTATTGCTTAGTTTGTTGCTTGATAATGCTTATTTTTTTATACTAGCCTTATGATGGTTTACTGTTTACTTTCCCCTATATAATTGACTTCACCCTCGACATTATTGGCAGCTTTATGCCAACATGGACCAGGAGTTTGATGTGACAGGTGTAATGCCATGTGATGGACATATCAAAAGAAGTGACATGGTCGTGAACTGATATGCTGAGAAACATGGTGTCAGTCTCCTTTATGCACATTTGTATTAATGTTATCATGCTGATAAACTTTGCTAGAGGATGAATGACTTTCAGCATACAGCAAAAGGTGAACCAGCAGAAAGTTGTCATAGCTTTAAAACTTAAACAATGACATTTCATAGTGAGTTGATAGTGGATTAGCAGATCTTAGCTTGTCAGCATCCACACAATAAATAAAGAACAGGAAAACATAGTGTGGATGCTTGTGCATCCACACAATTAGGTGCAAAACACTCATGACACACTGGCACTGATTGCCTGAAGACTAGTCCTGTTTTATCTACCTGCCATCCACCCCAGTCTCCTCCTAAGACCTGTGACACAGCAGGCTGATGGTTGGCTGTCGGTGAGTATCTGGTACGGCTCATCTTCCTAGTGTGTCCTACACCATTAGCACTAGTTGGACCCTCTTGGCAGCTTTTTAGCTGATTTGGCTTGTTGAATTAGTAGTGGACCTCTCGGTGAGAGACACCACTCTGATTAGATGTTAAGCTTAGCAAATCAATGAGGGAAGAAAACAGACTGGGAAAGCCCCTTCAGCCTGTTGCTGCAGCATTGACGATCTTACCCATTTAGTGCAGTTTCTCCTTATTTTTTGCCTCCACAGCCTCCCTTCTTCTTTCACAACCAAAAGAGCAAGGGCAGAGAATGGCAGTGTCATTTGCAACTTATTATCAGACATATTATTGATTAGAAGCAACTATAAACAGTAGCTATTTATGTGCTATTTGGCTGTAGTCTGTGCAGTGTGTTCAAGTGCCACTTTTTCAACCCTGAGTGAAAGTCATTCAAGTGCCACTTTTTCCCAGACAAAAGTGACGTGAGGCGACGCAACAGTCGACCTTCATCGCTACTAGTTCTTTCACATCGGCTTGGTGTGCCTCTGCCCTAACATGGACTTTCTGGCTCTGTAAATTACATCACCTAACTTACTCCTTTGCTTGTGTCACAATTACTATGCTCGCCAGAGGTCACCAAACTATAGCACTTAACTATTGGTTGTAATAACCTGCTGGCACAAATGACATACAGTCACTTTTACAGGAGGGCAGTCTCCAGATAAGCCATATTTTGTAAATGTACTTAAAATGCTCAGACTTCACATTTCCTCCAAGTTCTATGATGATGTTTTGAAGCTCAACAGTGTTTGCAAAGCTCTCATAATGAAATTATTGTATAATTTTTGTTTCACTGTACGTGTGCTTGCTAAAAGCACACGTAGAGACAAATGTTTCAAAAGAGAACATTTGGAGATTTGAAGTTGCTGTTAGGTGTGAAAACAGAACAAGTAAGTGTATCTGTGTTGGGTTGGTGGTACTGACACAGACTGGCACTTCCGTATCAGTTATTGTGGCAGCACAAGCAAGGTAAATTATTATAATGTCACATTTAACAGATGAAGGTGGTGGTGATGCAGGTTATCCAATTCAGTTAAAACCTAAAGCTCTCAGCTCCACTTAAGCTTCAGGCTAAAAGTGATGGAGGCAGACAGTGAGAGGGAGAGAGAGAGATCAAGGGACAGACAAAATACAAAGGTAGAGAAAAACAGAGACAAAGGGTCAAAAAAGAGCTTTGACGGTGATAATAAGTGATAGGACTTTACCAGCCATCAATGTTTTTATGTGTACTTTTCACAGCAGTGAAAAATACCATCAACATTAATGTGCCTTTCCAGAAACAGAGCTGTGTGATCCATGGACATCAGTATTAATATTTGCAACTGGAACTACTTTCTGCCAAAGAAACAGTTTCAGGTCCTATTCTATACTAGATTTTGTGCATTATCTAGAGTAACAAGTGCAGTTTTTCACGAAAGTGATGTTTTTGCAAAACTTTTGAAAGATAATTTTACACTGCTGTGAGCACCGTTCGCTGCTGTTCTGTTCACTCCTATTGTGGAGATTGAACTCTCAGAGACAGATATGTCCACTCTTGGACAAAACAAAGCAATATGTATGGCTAGATATCAACAGCGGTATATTAACAGAGAGAATATGTCTTTTTGTAATTTGGCTAAACCAACTCCTTACATTAGCCCCGTTTTTTAAAATTTAATTTTTTTTTCCTTTTTATTTACAATTTTTGCATTGACAATTCAATTTTTGTTAGAGAAACAGCTAATTGTGTCAAAAAGAGTAAAAATATGACCTTGAACCATCAAGAAACTGTCCATGTATACTGTTGTACAGTACAAACTATATGGACAGAAGACATGTTTTCAAAGTGTGATCTACTGTATATAATGTACATTACAACAATTGTCCCTCTTCTACAGTGAGGCAGAATTTTGATCTGCTTCACTTCTTGACGCAAACATGAAAATAATCCTTGTCAGTGAGAAAGGTTTACAGATGTTGACAGCCTGTGATGATGGAACTTGTTCAACAGTGTATGTTGGTGGTCTGTTTTCAGTTTGCTGCTGAAGGTGTTCCTATGTTTATCTACACAGTAAGTTGGCTAAAATATTGTAGTGCTGTTCATTTTTAATTTAAAAAAACTTGTCCATGAATCAGTTTAGCCCTACTCTCTAGCATTAGCAGCTAGCTGCCTTCTCTCAAAAATTAAGCTCTCTCCCCAAAGCATCCCTGATGAGTTTGTTATACAGTAGTTAAACATCAGAAATCTATAGGAATAGGATTTAAAAACTAAAGCAATCTGATCTCATTTTACAAATTAATCTACTGATTACAGGTCTTCTTGAAAAGCGACCGTGTGTCCCGGATGGTGCAAAGTGGTGGCTGCTCTGCCAGTGACTCTCGGGAGGTTTTTAAGAAGCACATAGAAAAGCGAGTGCGCAGCCTGCCTGAGATTGATGGCCTAAGTAAAGAGACGGTTCTGAGCTCCTGGATGGCCAAATTTGACACTATCTACCGTGGGGAAGAGGACCCCAGGAAGCACCAGCAGAGAATGACTGCCAGCGCTGCCTCTGAGCTCATCCTCAGCAAAGACCAGCTCTATGAGATGTTTCAGCAGATCCTGGGCATCAAGAAGTTTGAGCACCAGCTGCTCTATAATGCTTGCCAGGTCAGTCTCTTAAGCATATCATATATACATTACTTTACTTTTTATTTTGGAATGTACATGTGTTTTTTGAGCTTGTTCAGGTGGTGATTTCTGAGACATTATGCCCCATTTCTGGCCTAATATCTCTAAGGGAATTTTGAGTGTCTCCTTTGACTTAAATGTAGTACTTTTTATTTAAGAAATAATTTAAGATAATCAGATTAAATTATTTAATTTTACTTCAGAATTTAGTATAACATTGTGTTCATATAAAATGTTTTTTTGTGTGAGAAGGTTCTTCGATTGTCAGAATTGATCAATACTGGCTGACATAACTGTGCAGCTGATGTCACGGTGGTTGGTAACACTTATTACTAATAGCCACACTGATTGAAAAATATGTTGATTTAAGAGTTATAATTTCTAGAAGTTGATTCACAGCATCCTGTACTGTCAGTGTCATTCACACTTGTTGCGAAATTTGGGATAATATTATTTTGATTTCATCCACATTCTTAATCTCACATACATAGCTCAGAATGCCGGGGTCTGTCGGAGGTTTCTTCCATTAAAGGGAGTTTTTCCTCCCCACTGTCACCAAGTGCTTGCTCAAGGGGGATTTGTTGGGTTTTCCCTATGTAATAATAGTGATAACAGTAAGGTCTAGACCTTACTTTGTAAAGTGTCCTGAGATGACTTTTGTTGTGATTTGGCGCTATACAAATAAAATTTGATTTGATTTGTTATTTTTCTAATCAGGGGAACAGCTGGGATTGGCTTCAGCCTCCCCCCATGACCCTCTTTGGGAGGAGCGGTATAGATACTGGATGTCAATTTGCACACCACTAGACATGTCTGAATTGTTTTTAAAACAATTACAGATGTGGACAGTGATCTAGAGGTCTAGAACCACACTCTCCCAAAATCAATTCATTGTTGTCAGAAACAAACAAACAAACAAAAAAAAAAACAACTCATATTTATGTACCCTGTTGCTTAGATTGCTTAACTGTACAGGTGCCAAGAAAATAGAAAAATAATAGTTTTATTCTGGCTCGTGTTTTACTAAGTATTCTGTCCTGGTTTAATTACAGTAGAAGTACAATGATAAAATGTGTGTAATATTGCATGAATGACATCCATCACTTTTGGCTTGAAGCCTTCAAGGAAGATGGGGCTCTAGAAGTTACACACACACATCAAGACACACATCTTTGTTTTTGTCACTTACTGGGTCCCTACATAGGCTTACATTCAGAGCTCCAGAGCCAGGGCTACCTGCAGGTAGTAGGTATAGGGAGAGAAAGGACACAATGCAGGAGAGAGGAGACACAGTTAATGACATGTAATGCTGGCATGCAGATGCATGGAGAGAGAGGAGAGGAACTCAGAGCATAATGGTGGGGGGCAGTCTAGGCCTATAGCAGCAAAACTAAGGGAAGGCTCAGGGTCACCTCATCCAGCCAACCTGCACTCTGAGAGCGAAGTGCTCTGTTAGGATGATAAGGCTCTACGAGGTCTTTAAGATACGATGGAGCCTTGTCATTAAGGGCTTTGTATGTTAGGAGAAGGATTTTAAATTTATTCTGGATTTTACAGGGAGCCAGTGGAGAGAAGCTAATATGGGAGAGATATGATCTCTCTTGCTAGTTAGTCTGGCTGCAGCATTTTGGATTAACTGGCTTTTTAGGGAATTATTGGGACATCCTGATAATAAAGAGTTACAGTAGTCCAGCCTGAAAGTAACAAATGCATGGACCAGTTTTTCAGCATCACTTTGAGACAGGATGTTCCTGATTTTTGCAATATTGCACAGGTGAAAGAAGGCAGTTCTAGAGATTTTGTTTATATGAGATTTAAAGGACATATCCTGGTCAAAAATGACTCCAAGGTTCCTCACAGCAGTATTGGAGGCCAGAGCTATGTCATCTAGAGTAACTATATGGTTAGACAGTAGATTTCTAAGATTTCCAGGCCCAAATACAATAACTTTGCTTTTGTTGGAGCTTAAAAGTAAGAAATTACAAGTCATCCAGGCATTTAGGTCTGATCAATTGATCTGATTCATCTGGATTTCTAGAAAAATATAAGTAAGTATCATCTGCATAGCAAGGAAAATGCAGTGTTTCCTGATAATATTGTCTAAAGGGAGCATGTAAAAAAGTGAAGAGAACTGGACCTAGCACAGAGGCATGTGGAACGCCATGACTAACTTTAGTCTGCATGGAAGATTCATCATTAACATGAACAAACTGGAATCTATCTGATAAATAAGGTTTGAACTTTGAACAGTTAGTGAGGTTCTTTAAATTCCAATAACATGTTCAAGTCTCTGTAATAAGATGTTGTGATTAGTGGTATCAAAAGCAGCACTGAGATCTAAGAGGCCAAGTATAGAGATTATACCTTTTTCTGAGGCTAGGAGAAGATCATTGGTGACATTCAACAGTGCAGTTTCTCTACTATGATGGACTATATAACCAGTCTGAAAATCCTCAAACAAATCATTCTAGTGCAAGTGGTCACATAACTGCTTTGCAGCAGCTTTTTTGTGGTTTTTACAAATAAATGGGAGATTGGATATTGGTCTATAATTACCTAGAACACCTGGGTCAAGAGTAAGGTTTTTGAGTAGAGGTTTAATTACTGCAACCTTAGAAACCTGCAGAACATAGCCTGTTAATAGAGAGAGGTTAATCAGATCTAATATGGACGTGTTGATTAGGAGTAAAACATCTCTGAGCTGCCTGGTCGGCATGGGGTCTAAGAGACATGTTGATGATGAAGCAATTGTTGAGATCAGCTCAGAGAGATCTATGGGAGAGAAGCAGTCTAAATATATAGGAGGTCTTACAAATGTTGCAGCACTGTCAACAAGATTATTGACTTGAGTGGGAGCAAAGTTAAGGTGGCTGCCTTCCATTGTGTTGACACATGGCACTGAAGTAAATAATGATGGAATTATTTAAATTTGGCAACAGCATTGTCAGATAAACATCTACTGTTGTGGAAATTTCCCCCCACATACTGTATAGTCCATTAATGCATATTCAGAAATTATTAGAAAATGGTCAGACAGAAGAGGGTTTTGGGGAAAAGCTATTAAGTGTTCAGTTTCAATACCATACATCAGAACAAGTGCTGGTGGTTAATTTGATGAGAGAGACTCAAACTTGGTAAAATAGACTATAACCATGTCTCAGAAAAAAAATGCCTATATGAGAATTGGTTCAACAGAAATACAAGTGTGCTGCCTGTCTCGTTAATTCAACAAATCCATATAGCAGCCCAGCATTACATATCATCAATTTAAATAGGTCACCATTTAAATCTTGCATCATAAATATCAGAAATATGTTCCTGTCGCTCTTTTGCATTTAAATACTGATGTTAATGTAGTTGAAATCATCACTGAAAATTCATGGCAGTTGATTTTCTGACAGTCTAGGCTATAAATATATATCTTAAAAAAAGAAAGAAAGAAAAAGAATGAATAGTCAGAATAGTCACACTGAAGACAGACAACTCACAAAATCCTTAGTCAGGTGCATCCCTAGTGCCAGCCTCCTGTCCCCACAAGTTAAGCCGGTCCCTGTGAAGCTAATGCGCTCCCGGTTTTCTGTCCTCACAAAAGCAGAAAAACAAGGCCACACAGACATGCACACAGAACCCCAAACCTAAACATTTTATTTATTTATTTATTTATGTTCATTAAGCTTTAGAGGCACTGAATTTCTTCTTTCTGAAGTTGCAAAATTATTAAATTAGCTGGAGTTGTGATAGGTTCTTCAGAGGTAACCAATTAGTAAGACATTTTAATATTTTGTCAAAACATTGTTTGGAATTTCTTAAAGCTTTAATTGAGAGAAACATTCAATCCTGACAGCTCCTGACAACTAAATGTTCTGGAGTTGTACTGGGCTAATTAAGTAAGACTTTTACTTTTTTTTTTTTGCTAAGGCAGCTACTCTAAACTTATAATCACTTTCAGCAAATGGCTCCACATAAATGAATGCCAAAAGAAGCAGTCCTTCACTTTAAACAACTTTAATATTGATGGCCTTTGTGTGAATGCACATCAAAAGCAAGAGTGGTGCATATGCAGCTTCCCAGGAGCTGATAGACATATTGTCTTGACCAGGCTCACTGATGAGGAAAACAAAACTGTTTTTAAGGTACTGATTCAGTCACTTTATTTCCTCTTGCAGGAAAATCTGTCTACACAGGGGGTCTTCAAATGGGGGACTCCAGTCCAGATCTGGAAGTTTTGAAATATTGAGCATAGGTTTCAGTAGCATTTTTAAAATTTTGAATCTGAGTTTTGAGTTCTAAATACTCTTATTGAATCTCAATCCTATCAAATCTATTTGAGTATTTTGTCAGTGGAAACTGTAACAAAAAATTCTGTTTTGTATATTTATGAATCTTGATTTTACTGGTCATTTTAAATGAGACTGTCCAATTACTGCTTCCCTTATTAACCCTGTCCTCACTCATTTTGCTCCTGGAAAACAGTGCTGCAGCCACACAAGTATAAACAATACAGTGAAGATGATACTTATTCATCTATATTATTCAGTAAATATTAATTTTGAAAAATTTCTTATGATTTGCACTGCTACAGGTAAGAGAGACTAAACTAAATATTGAATGTGACTGAATGATCTATAACCTTTATAGCAATTTAAAGTTATGTATTAAATTGCTTATTTTGTTTTAAGAACACACCAAAACCCCAACATTTTAAATAATTTTTAATGAACATTTAGGATGATTACAGATAATGGATTATAAAAACTGTCAGTAATTCTCAATTATGTGATTGCCAATTTATTGAAAAAAGAATACAAAAATGTGTCATATGGCGTTGTAGTCGAGACCACCTAAACCAAGACCAAGCTGAGACTGAAAGAAGACAAAAGCTTTACAGGGTTGAGACTGACACAAGACCAAGACCACACCAGTGCTGTTAAACTGAATATATTAGTTTGATATTAGCCTACTACCTCTCTTGTGTTTCAGTGACACTGAAGACATTATATACTTAGGAGTTAAGTTACTGAATCTTTCCTTGTAAAATTCCCAAAATTAAGAAAAACCCCCCCCCCCCCCCCCCCCATCCCATTTAAGTGTTGTGAAATCATAGTGGTAAAAGTGAAGTTACTGAATATTTTTCCCAATAAAAAATCCCCAAAATTATGCAAAAAATTGTTTCAGTATAACCAACAGGAGGACCCTGTTGGCTGAACTGAATTTGACTGTAGGCCTCCTACACTATCTATCCATCCACCCATTATGTATGCCACTTATTCCTTATAGGGTCACGGGGGGCTGGAGCCAATCTACGCTGACATTGAGTGAGAGGCGGGGTTCATCCTGGACAGGTCACCAGTCTATCACTGGGCTGACATGTAGACAAACAACTACACACACTCACTCCTACAGGCAATTTTGAGAAGTCAGTCATTCTAAACTGTATGTCTTTGGACTGTGGGAGGAAGCCAGAGTACCTGGAAAGAACCCACACAGACACAGGGAGAATGTGCAACCTCCACACAGACAGGCCCCGGGTCAGCCGGGACTCAAACCTGGACCTTCTTGCTATGTAGGTGACAGCACTAACCACCGTGGGCTGTGCTGCCTCCTACTACACTATACAAGAGTTATTTAATATTTTTTGTAGCACATCTTTTCAGTGTTGCACTTTGTAGTCCTTGTGCACTGGCCTCACAGCCGGCTGCTCAGAGACCAGTGTTACTAGTCCAGTGAGTGTGTATATGTGGGTAAAGCTTGGCGGACTCCTTGTTCTGATGAAAACTGGTTTGTAGCTTGTTTTCTATCTTACAGTTGGAAGGAGGCACTGCTTGTGTTTTAACAATGTTTCACTATTACCTATTGATCCAGGAACTTAGAATCTGTGATTATCATTGCTAACTTACTGTAGTCCAGCTTCCAAGGCTAATGCAACTTAATTCAGTACATTACTATTTTTGTTAGGTAGGCTAGCAAGGTCTTTTATCTGTAAAATGCTCTCTCTCTGCTGTGGTTATTAAGACATGAATCCACTTTGGGTGTAACTACCATCCCGACAGTACAGAGGACTATCAAATTAGTTGTTTGATTAGCTTGATGATCAATCACACCAGTGTTTGTTCAAACACTCATTGTTGATCAGCAGGTTTATCCTGTTGCCAACTTGTATTTCTGGTTGAGATCAATCCACCTCCTTTTTTCAGCATAGAATTCTCATTCTTGTTTTTACATTCATCCTGATATGTTGCCTTTTTTATTAACATTCATTTGGCTTAAGGCACTTGCTGCACCTAAGTGTTAACAAAGAAAACCGACAATGCACAGGCATTTTCCCCACTGATGTGGTCTTGACTGGTTTGGAAACAAAATATCAAGTCTGTTTTATCCAAGATCCAGACAAGAATGAGTAAAAATCTGGTAACTTCTGAGATGAGACTAAAACCTTAAAAAAGTGGTCCATGAAAAAAGAAAAAAACAATCTTCAGTGAATTAAAACCATACTTGATCAATACAGTAATTTCTGAAAATCAGTACGTTTTTAAATAAATATATTTTAACCAGTATAAGCAATAGGAAACAAATGCATATTGTACTGCTAATATTGTACACTTTCAACATTCACACATGTAGTATAATTAATGTGGCAGAATGAACTGCAAAAGCTTTGTAGGCATAAGCTGAAAAGTCTGTAGGAGGGGGAAAAAAACACTAGATATCTGGCAAGAGAATCCAAGGCTTAAATTGCTGATTTTATTTTAGGGTTACAGTACAAACTATTGTAGTCCTTGAATGCCAGGCTTTCATTTATTGTTTGCTGTTGGTATCTACAGTATATATTTCATATGAATATGGTTAAAAGGTATATATAATATTTCTAATTTACACCACCTAGGGGGATAAATATCTCCTGCTCACCACCAGTCAGATAAAACTGATGAAGCCTCTTGGATGAGAGGTGAAACGTCTTCTACCTAAAACCAAGTCCAGATGATTTTTTCTACATTTTTTTTAGCTTACTATGACCTGGATGACTGAGGATTTGCCTAATTGTTACACTTTGTAAGGATCAGCGAATCGGCATTCTTAGTTCCTGTTTCTGATTACAGGATTAGTACAGCAGTGGAGTGAAGTGACAACATGTGTGATGTATTATGAAACAAAGGCCAAATTCCTAGCACAGAAAAACAAAAGCCTGAAGTTCCTCATTCAGGTTAGAACATATTCTGTTGTAACTGTCTAAGACAGCCATCATACTGTATCTTCTCACCTTTATGCCCTTTTGCTGTGGCTATAAAGGTTGTGAGTATCTTTTCAATTGTTTGTCATTCTCAGTTTGCTCTTACGAGAGTTCAGACCAATTACCTTTCAGCAGAAATACAATACGCATGTTTTAATAAATTTATAGGAGACTATTAAGCTTCTTGTTCATTTCTCACCCTATAGTTTATTCTGTTTTGCCACTACAATGGCCAGTTTTCAGAGGTGTTATCCAACCCAATGTTTATTATTGAGGTCATAGTGAGCAGTATATTCCTGAACTGCACTATAATGAAATGTGTTCCTAATATTCTGCCCCCACTCCCTCATGTCTGTAAATAAAGCGTACCAAACATTAACAACACATCACAATACTAGACATCACTCAAAGAGTGCAAGCTTCTGCCAAGGGGCAACTCCATTTACCCATAAACAGAGACCAACACAGTGGAAAATACAGTGGCAAAACAAAGCGTGATGGTCCTCGTCAACCCGTGAGGTTATGCTGGGTGAAGGTTAAGGGACTCACAGGGTGTACCAACAGTGGAAACACAGCTATAATGTGCAGCTGGAACAGCGCTGTCCTCAGCGACGAGCTACTGTGCTCTGAATGAGATGTAGCTGCCTGCCAGGTAACAAGCACTCACATCTGTGAAAATGTCGGAACAAATTTCAAAATTGGCATTACTTGGATAAAGTGACAAGATATTCTCAATCTAAATGGTTGCTGTCACCTGAAAAAACTGTCAAAATTTAATAAAGTGCCATAATATCAGTCCTACGGATGAAAATGTTAACAGCTTTGAGCTTGGCTCAAAATCTCTGCCATCAGGTTCTTGCCTAATTGTCGCTACATAGAGTAGATCTTTCTCCAGTGGTGCGCTGTCACCTCACTGGGCTCCTTCAGTTCCTGTCTCCCATAGTGGGGTGTATTGAGTGACAACACTCAGTTTCTATTGCTAATGAAGGGGCAGATGTCACTAACCCAGTGATTTGTCTGCATATGTCTTCAAAGTGCTCAGCAGTGCAGCTGCACACTTTGGCCATATACAGTCTGTACTTTATGCACATATACTGTATGTCTATACTGTACAGCCTTTCCAGCATTCACAATGGTGAATAATCTTTTAAAATATTCCTGTATCCAAATTATGATACAAATCAGCAACAGAATCTAATCAATTGTTCTGGTAGACCATGCCTTACATCTTCAAAAATGTTATCCAAATTTGTTTATTACTTTTTGAGTTATTCTGTTAACAAACAAACCAACAAACAACAGCAAAAATATAACCCCCACCCTTGGCAGAGGTAATAATGCAGTCCTATTCAACAGCACTGGCAGAGGATCAGCTCAAATGAGTACAACAAAACTAAATCCTCAGGATAAATCACAGCTTACAGAGCTGAAGTAGTTCAGATAAGAACTCTGGTGAGTGGGCACAGTCTTTAATGACACACAAGAGACCAGATTAAAAGGAGCAGGCTTAAGATATGTCAGGGGGAAAACAGTCTTGTTGCACAGTGGGCAAAGTGGCAAACAAATAAAGCAAGGGGCAGGCAGCTGAGCAGGTTATGATTCAGACAGAAATCTTGTTACCAGTAAGGCAGGCAGTCCAAGGCAGGCACAGTTCAACAATAAGGAGGTAAGTTAGGTTAATGGACAGAAGGAATGATGGCTGGTGAGTCTCTAGGTTAAAGAAAGATGACAATCCAGCAAAGAGTGAGTACTGGCCACAGTCTTTTATACTGGCTGACTGACGACGTCAATGAGAAAAAGGTGCATGTGGGGGAAGCAGGGAGGAGCAGCAGCAAAATATAGAACTATAAAGAATCATGACAGTGTAGTATTGGACAGCCAGTTGATTCTTAAGGCACAATGCAGAATGATCAATGAATAAAGGAAGCCCAGAGTAAAGGCTTAAAGGAAGGACTGGAGCAGGTTAACATCTCAGTTCACGAGGTAAATCATAGTGTATGGTTGCACGTGGTATGGTGTCCATGGCAGGATGCTACAGAAAAACCCACTGTTCTACAAAACTAGAATTACCACCTTGCAGTTGTATATCTCTGCCAATCAGTTAAATGCATGTCTGTCCAGACTCGTATAATACTGTATATGAAGTGAAGACTTTCAAGGAATTTAATAAAAGATACTGTGTTCACAAGAATGGTATGGATGTGTGATCACAGTGACCTTGATGTTCAACCTTTGACTTCCAAAATTTATTCAATTCACCCTTGAGTTCAATTGGATATTTGTGTCAAATTTGAAGAAATTCTCTCAAAGTGTTCCTGAGATATCATGTAGATAATGAGTCATGGGACAGAGGTACTACTAAACAGTATGTCTGTCCCATTCTTGTAAATGCAAACCTGAAAACATAATGCCTCCGGCCAACAGCTGTTGCCAGTGCAGATGCATAAAAACATCACTGCACACTTGGAGGTTGCTAAAGAGCACTTTGATAACTCTTCTGGAAAAGTGTTTTGTGGACCAATGAAACACACTAGGGGTGTTACAGTACACAAAAATCCCAGTTTGGTACATACCTCAGTTTAAAGTCACAGTTTGGTTCATTTTCTGTACAGTGAGGGACTCAAGGTGTCAGAGGGGCATGGGGAAAAAAATATTAAGGGTGCCTGATGCATTCAACATGAAGTGATGTGTTTGTAATATGTAACCTTCAGCCAGATCTTTTGTGTTGCTAAACACAAAAAGGAATAAGTCAGAATGAATGTGAGCAGTTAACCACCTGAATCTTCATCTAGATGTTCAAAAACTACCAACTTGAACCAACCAGGGACTGGTGATCAGTAAGAGATCCTTTGACTTCTATTCAATAATATGATTAAATTAATGATTAAAAATAGCTTTTGTTGATTTATAGAGTTGTAAGAGAATCAACCGATTGTTAATGATTTTTGATATTCTGCATTACTGCTTATTGCTATGCTGTAACTCTTTAAAGTGCCCATGGCATGCTTGTTTCCAACCATTTTAATGTTTAATTTTGGGTACCTCTAGATTAGTTTTCCTGTTGTAAATGCGTGTGGATGCTAATAAGCGG